TTCTTTCTTTCTTTCTTTCTTTCTTTCTTTCTTTCTTTCTTTCTTTCCCTCTCCTTCCTCTCCCGTTTCTTTTCCTGTCAAAAACCTACCAATTTTGTTTGTTTTTTTTTAAACCAGAGCGATTACAAAAAAAAGAAATGTGAAAATGAGCGTGCCCTGCCCCACAGCCCCTCTCTCCCCCCCTCCCAAAGGAACCTAGAATGCCGACAGAGGAAACCATAAGACTTGGGGTCCCTCTGCCACACGTCCTATCGAAAGGGGTACGGGGTGGGGTAACCCCGCCAGTGGGTGGAAGGGGGGGAGTGAGCAGACGGGCAGCTGGCGAACAACCTTCCTTCCTTGTGGCCCTTAACTCAGCTTCCCCCCTCCAAAAAAAGACCGTTTCCCAGCCGTGAACAGCCTCATCCAGCGGATCAACCTGCGGAAACGGCGCGACACCCTCATCCTGGGGGCCGTGATCAGCGTTTGCACCATCCTCCTCCTCCTCTACGCTTTCCATTGACGGAAAATGCCGTGCGCAGAGACACTTCTGGGACCAGGTTCCAGGCGCCTGCAGAGGGGCAGGCGGACTTCTGGGGGGACGGGACCCTCCCCCCCCCTTCAATCTGGGGACGCGGAGACCCGAGAGACCCAGGCAGGTGGACTTCCCTCCTTCCTTCCTCCACCGACGGCCGTGAAGGTGCCACGGGGTTCTCCCACGGTCCCGTTCTCCCAACGTTAAGGAATCCTCCCCTTAAATGTCCTTTCTCCCTTTTCTATCGTTTTGCTCTCCCCTAAACTTAGGAGCCCGGCACACACACACACCCCCCACACACACACACCCACAAATTCAGCCGCCGTGTTCACCTTCCAAAGGGTAAAACCTTTGCTCTGTTTTTTCCCACCTCAACCCGTCTCCCTCTCCGATATTTAAACGCAATTTGCGCCCAGACATTGCAACTTAAAAAAAAAAACAACTTTGCAACTTGAAAAACTTTTGGCCCCGACCCGGTTGAAGATCCAAGAACCACGGAGAGAAATTCTTCACCAGATTTTTTTTTATTTTTTATTTTGAGGACGGTCGTCCCGGGTTGGTAAGTATCCCAACGTTTTGGAGAAGACAAAACTTCCTTCCAACTCTGTTTTATTTTTCCCCATCAACAACATCGAGAATAACCCAAACGTAACAGTTTACCGACGCCGGGAAAAATGTCCCCAAAAACGGAGACCGGATCTTTCAACGTGGAAATGGAGACTTTTTTTTTTTTCCCACCGAACTGGAAACGCAGTCGATATTTTACACATCCCGCTGGAAAACAAGCAGGCAATTTCCTTTTTGTTTTTTCTCGCGACGTCTCCAGCGAAAGGGATTAAAAGAGAGCGAGTGGCCAATTTTGGCATCTGAATTGGCGAGCCGTTTTTGGCAGCGGTCATTGTTTGATGACCTGCAAATCCTCGGCTTGTTTGTTCAACTTTTGGGTCGGTTCCCGTCCTAACAAGGACACCGGACGTCTGTCCTACCCACCCTTGCTTCAAAACAAAAATAAAATTGAAAAAAAGAAAAAAAGATAGCTATTGTATATTGCTCTTGGGCCTCCCAATGCAGAAATCGAGAGATTTTGACTTTTTATCGGCAACCCAAGCCAGCCCAAGATTCACCGTTGGCTTACGCAGACGACAATTCGCAGTTATTAACTTAAGCCAGTGGGGATCATGGGTTTTGGAGTCCCAATGGATTCAAGGATGGGAAGAGGGATTGTGAGAGACCTTGGATTGCTGGGAGCCTTTGTTTCTCTCCTCCATTCCTACATGCTGACATTAAACCAAGGTGGACAAAGATGGCGCCTTTACGACCTGTGGACTTCAACTCCCAGAATGCCTCAGCCAGCCAATATGGCCGAGTCAAGAATTCTGGGAGTTGAAGTCCGCAGGTTGCAAAGGTGACATAATTGCCCGCTCCTGGCATTAAATGCTAATATACAATTTTTTTAAAAAAAAAATTTCAAATAGATTCTAGAAACTAGCCACGATACCACAAAACACCAGTGTGGCATCAACTTCTTAAATTAATAAACTATTCCTTCTCTTTCGGGTTTCGCAAACGGTTTAATCCTGTTAATGCTTCGAAGTGAATAAAAAGGACACGATAGTTTTTGGGCTGCAAGCAATCGGTCGAAGTTAGAAAATGCTTCCTTTTGCAAATCAACTCTTTTTTTTTATTTTATTTGTCCCTTCCAGAATAGGAAAAAAGCAAAAGATTCAGAGGTGAATCAAATTTGGTTACAAGAGCTCCTGGTTTTAAGGAACTGCTGCTGGAGGTGTTTTTTTTAAAAAAATTTGATTCTGGTTTTAAATTTTGTCTGTCTTTCCGCCTTTGGTGGTGCTGAGGTAGGGACAAGGGTTCTCTTGATTAATAAATAAATTAATAAAATAAATAAGAGTCGTTTGCATTATCTAGCTAACAAGAATAAAAAAAGGCACTATCTCTGAATAAAACGTATTTCTTTAATCGTAGGATTCTTGTTTCTTCATTCTTTTTTTTTTGTTTATTGTTCTGGGTTTGTTTCAGTGGAAGATAACAGATAATCGGAGTTGGAAGGGATCTTATAGGTCATCTAGTCCAACCCCCCGCCCAAGCGGGAGACCCTACACCATTTCTGACCAATGGAAGTCCAGTCTCTTCTTGAAGGTCTCAAGTGATGAAGCTCCCACAGCTTCTGAAGGCAACTTTTGTTCCATGAGTTGATGGTTCTCAGTGTCAGAAAGTTTCTCCTTATTTCCAGGTTGAATCTCTCCTGGGTCAGTTTCCATCCATTCTTCCTTCTCTGGCCTTTGGGTGCCTTGGAGAATAGCTTGACCCCCTTCCTCCTCTCTGGGGCAGCCCCTCAAATATTGGAAGACCGCTATCATGTCTCCCCTGGTCCTTCTCTTCCCTAGACTAGACATACCCAATCCATCAACCCTTCATCGTATGTTTTGGTCTCCAGTCCCCTAATCATCCTGGTTGCTCTTCTCTGCCCTCTTTCCAGAGTCTCAACATCTGTTTTTATTGTGATTTGACCAAAACTGGATGCAGTACTCTAGGTGTGGCCTTACTAAGGATGGATGGATAGACAGACTGATAGATGATAGACAGAGACATGATATAGACAGACAGACTGACACAGATGATAGGCAGACAGACAGACTATCAATGCCCAGTTCCTGCAACTGTTCATTGTAGATTTGAGCTTCCAGTCGCCTCATCATCCTGGTTGCTCTTCTCTGCACTCTTTCCAGAGTCTCAATATCTTGAGTACTCTAGGTGTGGCCTTACTAAGGCTTTGTAGAGTGGTATTAGTCCCTCCCTTGATCTTGACTGTATCCCTCTGTTAATGCAACTTAGGATTGCATTGGCTTTTTTGGCTGTTGCTGCACAACATCGGCTCCTATTTAGCTGGTTGTCCACTAAGACTCCGAGATCCCCCTCCCAGTTCCTGCTATTGAGCCCGGTTCCACCCAGTCTATTATAGGTGTCCTTTGGGTTTTCCTTGCCTAAGTGGAGGACTTTACTTTTCTCTACGTTGAATTTCATTTTGTTAGATAGAGCCCAGAGTTCAAGTCTGTCGAGATCAAGGTGTAAAATTAATTTGGGAGACAGTTGGAAAAAAAAATCACACATAAATGGCACAACGTGGGATTGAGTTTGCTTAGCACATAACAGTAAACTACGAGTGATACGTTAGGGTCTGCACTTCAGGTAGTCCTCGACTTACAACTATTCCTTTAGTGACCAAGTTAAAACAGCAGTGAAAAAAAGTGATTTCACACTTAACGACTGTTGCCACATCCCCGTGGTCACCTGATCAAAATTCAGCCGCTTGGCAACTGGACTCATACTTACGACCGTTGCTGGAAGGAAGGAAGGAAGGAAGGAAGGAAGGAAGATCATAGATAGATAGATAGATAGATAGATAGATAGATAGATAGATAGATA